TGCAATGCCACGATACTTTGGGGTATCTTTGAGCTGCTGGGGGTACACTAACACTCAGGCCAGAAAACCAATAATAATTGATTGGAAACCCAAGAATCCATAATTGAATCCAAACTCTTGTAGGAAAAGCTCGACAGAGGCATTCGCCACACGTTAACCTTTCAGGTATGGTGTTGAGGTGCCTTTGACAAGCATTAGCCCAGGGTTGCCACCAAGATCCACGTGAAATTGGACTTGCAAAGCTGCACTAAGCAAAAACAAATCACAAGGAGGAGCCAATCCTGCAGTAGCGCCCATTGAAGGCTACCGGTACCGAAATGGGACCGGCTCAGCCTTTTAAAGAGTCTGAAATGAGATTCTTCGTTCAAGCACTACTGAGTCACCATTGTAAAGGGCAACTTGGCTGCACGCAGTGTAGCAGCGAGCTTCAGATGGTCGCAAGAATGGTGCCAGGTGTGGCAAAGCAAAGGCATTTGGCGGCATTCGGGCCGAAGCAAGCAAAAGCCCTGAAATGTCTCAGCTCCATGCCCTGCCTTGCTGGCGTACAGGTCCCACACAAAATGGTTGACTTCTGTTTCTTCCGTCTCGTGCTTGCGGTTCATCTCCTGCCTGAGCTTGGCAATGCTTGGCATAACTTGCTTATCTCTGCAAGGCCGCGAGGTGACCTGAGACCTTCATCAAGCCAGGCAAGCAGCCCGAAGGTAAAGTGCTTGAGGGTCTTGTGATTGTGGTGCCTTAGCTCGTGCACAAAGTGACTCAATCGGGGCTTGTGCACGGAGATGGGAGCGCCTGAAGCGGCCTTGGAGTTGAATTCATGAAAGCCTGTATATCTTACAGAGGCTGATTCCTGTCATGCAGGACTCCTTCAGCCCATGTGTCATGAGGCCACATCAAGTGCATTCCTGACTTCTGATTGGGCATGGCAACATGGCAAAGGGCCTTATTGGAAGCTCTGCGGCCTAACTGCCGGCAACATCCAACACTCACACAGAGGAGCTGGGATGCAAGCACCAAATCGCTGCTGGACTTTTCGATGACAGGACGTAGAATTGCCTTCCAAGATCTTCCGAGCACAATGAGGCACATCATTGCGTCTGCATTGCAAAGAGTCAAAAGCGGACAGTCGATGAAGCTAGCGTACGGGGTCTGCAAGTCAACCTGCACCGAACCAACTGAGCTGACCTTGCCTTAAAGTCTGCGTTCACAAGTGCCGCATCCTCCTTCCAGCAGATATCTGGACTGAAATGTGCAGAAGGTATTCTGAAATGTGAGAATGTGAACAGGAATGGTGCGTGCCTTGTCATCTGCTTCGTCGAGCTTTACGCCGCTCATCCTGCCCCGTGCATGCGGGTGCCAAATCAAGACAACTCCCTCCTTTGAAGACGGCATGCACCTCACGAAAACGTCCAACTTGTCAGTATCCAGACCTGGTGAATTTGCCAGTGCACAGTGCTCAGCCGGCAATCGACAATGTTGCTGAGCAAGCCGCCGGTTCGTAGCATGCAGTGCTTGAGCCTGACCTGGAAACCCTGATGGTTAAACAGTTTTGACAAGTGTTGCAGGGTTAGTTGACTGGCAGCTAAGCTACAAGTTTAGTTCTGCAACTTCCTTCGAGGCCAAAGCATCTGTCAAAATGATCTGCTTATCCACGGCATCCTTGCCCGCCTCTGCGACCTCAATTTTGCAGACCTCTACAACATCACCGAATCACACTCCTGGCCAGCTGTGCTCCCTGCTCTAGAAAGCTCGGGCTGAGCAGCATCCTTGTCACACAGCTGCCAGGCCACCTGCTTCCAAAGCATGATGCCGAAATCACCACAAAAGCCTAGAACAAGTGGCAAGATAACAATATCAAAGATGTAAAAGCATCTTGGCGTCCAGCAACTAACTTCGAGTCGACTTCTGCAGCTGCAGCAAACATGCCTGGCCTCAGGCTTCCAAGGCTCATAAGGTTCATAAAGCAACATGATTTCTTACTCTGATTCTTCTTTCAGACAAGGTCGGAATTCCAAACTAAAACTCACAGCAAAACCAGTTTGCGGCGGTCTGGCCAGGGCTTGCACTAAAACGACACCTGAGATCCCAGCGCAGACTCCAGGACTATCTCCTGCGTAGCACTTCTAGACGCACGGCGCTTTGACATTCGCATGAGTTTTGCATCAAGTTGACACAGCTGACTGACCCCGCCGAATACGCATAGCTTGGCATTGATGCTTTCACACTAACTATGTCAAGAGCACCTGATATCCGCACGGAGCAACTGTAGGGCTGCCACACAGAGGCAACAGCTTGAAATGCCACGTTTCATCCTGTCTCTGCACGTCATTCGACCCGATGGTCGGATTCAGCGCCCCCGAAACTCGGCCGGGACAAGAAATGTGGAACCATGCGCTATGTCAGCTTCAGCGATTCAAAGCTTCCCCTAGCATAAGGCTTCAGACAAGTTGCACAAGTGGCGTCTTCCAAAGAGCCTTGCAGACATCACCTGGCAGGGCCATCCATGCAGGCAAAACACCCTCGAATTCGGCAGCTTCCGGACTTACACGGAAAAAGCTGCAAGTCCATGCTGCCTTGATCTCCACGCTTGGAGGTCTTCCTGCATAGAGCTCTACATCTAGCTCCACCTGGCTCAGGTGTTGGATCATTCACTGGGCTCATCTGGTTCTCAGTTCATGGAGTCGGACGTTGAAGTCCCACACTGGATACTGGGATGTCAGTGCTGCCTCTCACACAAGTAAAACACTTGAAGGCTTTCAGATGCACAGAGGCTGGGAGCACGGCATTGCTCACATGGGTTTCCCGCTGCATCTGGTTCACTTGGGTGTTCACCTGGCATGTGCAAATGATTTACGAAGACGTCCGGCCAAGCATGGGAGCTGCCTCGAGCAGAAGTGGTTCTGCCGGCATGTCCTGATTGAGGACCCTGAATTCAGCAGCTACCCAAAGGTCGGGTCCGGAGTGGGTGTCCATACCGGCTCGAACTCACCAGATCCACAACAGCACGACAACGAAGAGCGGGAGCAAAGGCAGGAACAGGAGGAGCAGGAGGGGAGCAGCAGAGGAGGAAGAGGAGTGCGAGACTACAAGCCAAAACCACACAGAAGATGGTGCAGCAAGGTCCTGACCATGGTGAACACAAAGCCGCCACTTGAGCATGGTGACCGCCCTGACAAGTTCTGGCAATCCCTTCCCAGAAGCGACAGAACCTGCCTTGACAGAGTCCCCATCCCGAGCAGAAATCGGCAAGCACAAGTAAGCGTGACAGGAACGCGATTTGTCAGCTTTGGGTCGGGTTCTGGCAGAGGTCACGCTCAATCAAATACATGGCGGCGCACTAGCTCCAGTGGAGGCAGTCTTCTATCGCTACTAAGCGGTCTACTCATGACACAGGTAGTGTCCTTGCCTTTTCAAGCATGCCTCACAGCTTGATATGCCTACTTTCAGGCACAGCCAACTCGGGCAGCCCTCCATGCTTGCGTTACTGGAAACAAACGCGCAATAACTCGCAGCTAGCCTACTTGCTTTTCCCCAGACCCCATCCAAGAAGGTCATCGCTGCCAATGTCCAGCCGTAAAGCTAAGCAGCTAGCCGTGTTCATCTTAACACTCGCGACAACAACATCGTGTATAACAAATGGATAAGCTATGCTGCCGCATTTTTGGGATTTGTTATAGCCAGCTCCCCTTTCGACAGTTCCAAAAAAATTGTCGGTGAGGTTCTGAGGATCTGGCTCGGCTGCCTCTCGGGCCTTTGATTCCGCGAGCTCTGGATACTTGCAAGGTGTTGGGTTCGGAGCCTCCTGCAACTACCTACACGTAGCTGAACAAACCGTGTAGCAAGTGCCACTGCTTGCTGGAGACAAGCCATTGGCACGAGGCGTGGGGAGAGCTAAGTTTCAAAAACACTCTACATGGGCTCATATGGGCTCCAACCAAAGCAGCTCAACGCAGCCGAGTTCTGTGCCAGCTCTGGAGACGGGGTGTCGCCAGACTGGCAGAACACAAGACAAAGTGAGACGGCCACCTTGCAACGGCCTTCGTCAAGTTTGGAAGAAAGAATAGGGGAACCTATAGACTTTGCAGAGTAGCAAGCCTCTCCGAATAGCTGCCTGGACAACTGTCCTGGGAGCCATGCTGTGAAGCACCACACTTCAACTTGCGTGCAAGTCCTGCAGCGCTCAATGCCGCGTCTGTCGTGCCGTTCGCTATGCCAGCCACTGTCTGAAGAGCCTGAGAATTCACAAAGGCATGGCCGGCCCGCGCTTGCGAGACGATAATTGCAAGCATTGCACCACGAGGATCTATGCACGCACTAGACAGGTTGTAGAATGTACGAGTGATTCACACATGTCATCTTGACTCTTGGCCACATTCCCGCTGGCCTGCATCTGCTGCCACTGACTGGCACCCGTCAGGCTTGAAACTGTCTGCATCGCCTGCATTGCCTCCAAAGCTTGCAGGGTGGCAGCTCAGGTCAGAACATGCATGCATCAAGACAACTATGTGATGTGCGCAGTACAGCAGAACATGGACATGCTGTCCTGACTACACCACAGATCGTTGTCCGCCTATGAACCACTTGGTCCCGCTACCTTTCCAGAATGTAATTTGCCATCTGGCTACTTTTGATTGTGTTTCATGAGTTTGCTCTTGGGCTTTATGACAAACAACTGTACATAGTGAAATCTGCGCTGAGGATGTTAATTCCTGCTCATGCTCTCCCTGACGAGGAATGGCAGCTTCAGTGCAAAAAGTTGGAGGGCTGCAGGCGCAAGGTTGCAGAGCAATCAAGCTGCACTGAGAGGCTAAACTCCCTTTCTGTTGTTGGATGCTTTGCCAAACTTGTCGGTCACTGCCAGATTTCGGGCCGGGCCGCACAGTGACCACTTTTGAGTCAGGCCCAGGCCGGCACTTGCAGAGTTCGTTCATCTGCAAACTATGTTGCCGTCTCGGAAAATTGAGGCAACTAGCGAAAAGACACCCAAGCAAAGGCCTCTGTAATCAAACGACCAACCGGTCTGTCTCCCATTCACCTTCCCACACATCGTGTCTCTGCAACAAGCGCGGCATGCGCCGAAGCCAAGCGACGACCACTAGGCTGGATGCGGATGTGACCAGCACGGCCAGGGACAGCAAGGCCAAAAGGTCCCATTTGGGCACTTTGCTCATGTGGAGCTTCTGAGCTTCAAACAAGTCAGACGGTTTAAACAAGGAATCCATTTGCTTCTTCACAGCTTTGCCCTGATGGGAGCCGCTGGTGCCAGCGGTCATGTTGGCCGCCGTGCTCTTGGCACCTTCAGGAAGATCATTGTGTCGCATAAGCGGGTCGACCAAGAGACCACCAGGGATGCCCAGCGTGATGGGCTTGAAATTCGGAGGCAGCTGTGGCTGTGGCTTTGCAGGCGGTGAACTCGAGACCACTCTCACAAAGCCTTCAGGGCTTGCGGGCGTGGATGTGGAGCTCATGGACACTGTCACTGGTGTCACTGTAGTGCTCTCAGTGCCCTCTGCTCGCTGCACACTGGAGACTGGCCCTGGCTTCGCCTTTACCGCAGGCGCGGATGGCGCGGCCGTTGTAGCCAGAACATTGTTGATGGACAATTCAGCTGGTGAGGCTGCTGTGGTGGTGAGCGCTGCAAACGGCTTCTCTTCCCTCTGCTTCCTCTGCTCCCTCTGCTCCCTCTGCGGCTGCGAGGTTTCAGGCTGTGGGAATGCCTTTTGGTCAGTGCTCACATGCGGTCTCCTGCCCAACATGACATTGGAGGCACTCGCAGGCCCGGGTACCATCAGGTCTTTGTCTGAAGGTGGTGAAGGCGATCGCTCCGAAACAAATGGCATTGTCGTCACAATGCTGGCGTCAGGCACACCAAAGGTCGTGACACCAGTCGAAACAACAGGAGACTGCTTTTGATGTCGCTGACCAGAGGGGAAAGACAGACTGACCGCTGCAAGGCCGTTCGAGTATTCATCCTGAGCTGAGCTTCCATGCGCCTAAGCGACTTCTGTTGCTAGTTGCCGACTTGACTGTTCAGATAAGTTTCCAGATCTATGTGCCCGTTCTGATCGGCGTCCAGCGCCCTGAAGGGCTCCTCTCAGTCGCTTGCTATAGATCTCCTTCTTTGAAGTTCTAGCTGCCAGACCCGTGGTATGACCCTGTCTAGCATGGTGCAGACCTGTCGTGATGCATGCAAAGGTATGGATGTCTCAGATAGAAGTGACAATCTTCCCAAGGTACCATGGTCCTCAAAGTCTGACGCGTCTGCGATGGGCATCCCCTAAAACCAGACATGGCATCACAGATGGCAGTGTCTAGCAGCTAGTTCAACGCGCAAACTAGCACGGGTCAACTGCTGCCACCTTTGCTTGGATGACACTCTCCGCAACTGCCTGCAAGTAAGCCAACATTCAACAATCTGCCTGTGCGTTTACCCATCCGGCCTTGAGATTGACAGCACATTCACTGTGCCTGTAGACCTGCACGTTCCGCACCTGTCCAAGAAAACCTCAGATCTGCAAAGTTCCTAACCGCAAGCGACCATAGATGAAGCCATTAATTCAGGAGCAGCTATCAAAAACAGTCTAAGGTTATTAGCTATTAGAAGCATTAAGGGTACATATGGAGTATGTAGTAGGCATAAGGATCCCAGGGTAAGGGACCCATACTGGAGACCCATGGTTTTTTTAACCTTACTAAGAAAGAGTCAAAGATTCAGATGAGTGGCCTTTCTGCTCAGCATCGCCCTTTCCCAGCCACAAGTCCATTTCACCCGGCAACGTTGCAGGCGATCGGGACACCTCAGGTAGTACTCCTTGACTCCTACTTCACGTTTCCATTTATCCTGATCAACACGGGAATGAAAACAACTGTCAGCAGCATGACGCAGCACATCTTGCCTTGCACATCTTTGCCAGCTTCCCGTCCTGCTGCACAAGCACACCGACTCACAAATTCGTCGCACAGGAGTAAGCCAAGTTAAAGTTGATTGCTCCAATCAAACTGCCAGAAAACGAGCTCAGCGGATCGTCCTGGAAGAGGCGCTGCACGCCGTGCTGCGAGTCGAAGACCATGGCGACTTTCACCCATTGGTTGGTCGGAAGGCTTTCCGTCGCCTGACGGGGAAGCCGTTGCTTGCGCTCTCCAAACATGGTCGGACACTGGCCTGGCAGGTCTGACCCAGAAAGGCCGTATGCAGCGCGCCGTTGTGAACTGCAAGGAGAAAATCACGATTTGCCTTGAAAACAAATGTCGGCGCCACAGCGCCTGTCTAGCAGCAACATGATAGATCGTGGTAACTGAGATGGCAACGCCAGAGACGATGGCACCGTCGCTGGTCTGAAGTTAGAACCCAACTTCTCAAAGAAATCGCGCACGCGGATTGCTTCGCCTCCCGCTGCTTGAGCACTTCCAGGGTGAGGGTGAAGGAGCCTTTTTGACAGGGACAGAGATGTTTTATGAAAAGATCTGGGACAAGTTGGCCAGCCTCCATTGATGCCCAACTTTGGAGCAGCTCCCAGGTTCACTTCTCCACCCGGCTGTCCACCTTTCACCAACAGAAAGACGGCCCTTCGCATCAGGTTCACACAAAGCCCGAACTGAGCCGTTGGGCTGAAGGTCTTGGAGCTTGTCAAAGGAACTTGAGCGAAGACTGCATGCAGGCCCTTCAGCCGTTGGATGCGAGCGAAGCTCTGATGAAGCCCTGAAAGTTCTCCAGGCCCCCTGCCTCTGGCTTCAGCGCTTCCGGAAAGACAAACAAAGACGCAAGCCTTGGAGATGGACATGCGCGTACGACTTCTTGAGCACGGGAGAGCTGAATGCAAGCAAAGATCCGACTCCTGGCAGGCTGCCTTTCGCCTGCCACCACCTTCGTAGACTGCAACAAGGCTTGCCAGTCTCTCGAGTGAGCATGTTACCCTGCATTTCTCCACAGTCATTGTAATTGTTCGCGCACGCAGCAACAGACATCAATCCGCATTTAAGACAGCGTATGGAATGCGTGACACGCGTGCACCAAAGCCACCGTCAGATCTCATACTCGCACTAACCCTTGATTTCTTCGCGTGGCCTGTTGCCCGAAACCACGGAAGGCACCCGCTCTGGAACAGGCCTGTGAAAATCCAATTCGAAAGCCATTAGCTTGCCCGATCCCTTGCACTCATCCACCTTGATCTCTTTGCCGTTCATCCAAATGTGCTGCTCCTTCAGAAAGCGTAAAGATGCGGTCAACATCACCACGTGCTTGGCGCCTGTTGCGTGGCGTTGTACACCCACGCTACTTCCAGCCAAGCATTGGCTGGTGCCTCAGACAGCACAAGTTGACAGAACACTCTATGCAAAGGGCTCCATGCCTTGTAGGCTGCCGTGCACGCGGAAGCCGGGTCTGTCAAGGAGAAGGCCAGGCGGCCACCTCTCGGCCAGGCAGTTTGCAAGAAAACATTTTGGCAGGTCACGCTCTCTTCCAAGAGCCTTGGAAACCCGCGAAGAGCCCGGGCCTCACCGAGACGCCAAGACTCTTCCAGCATCTCAAGCTCACTTGGAAGCTCACTTTCACTTAGCTTAGGACTCAGACGAATGGTGGGAGCCCTCCGTGCGGAAAACCGCCTCGAGAACCACACCAAAGGACGCAAGGTGGACCATCGAACAGACACTTTTTGCAATGCCTGGGTCAGAGAGTTGCTTCGCAGAGTAGTGGCTCCTCAAATCAGTGATGAGTTGCAAGAGGACAACTCCCACCTGTCAAGCGGATGTACCTATCCAGACGCGGGCCACCAGCGTAAAGCTGCCCATGACAATCCCAAGCGACTCAGCGCTGCCAAGCACAGACCTGTGCACAGCTCCTTCTTCCTCATTGCTTGTTTTTGGACGTTGGCAGAGTGCCCCACCGGACATCGAGGTTCTGTTGGTGGAAGGTGTACGGCCTAGGCTGACGGCCCTGCTCCCAATCCTGGCTGACACTGGCATCCACAGGCCTGATTTCCTGCCACCGCTGGCATGCCTGCTTGCCGCCTGGCAGTACACCTGGCACGCCGCATCCTTCCTGCTCTACGGGCCTCTTAGCACGTGTTAGCCGTGTTAGCGGTAAGCGCTCTGAGCAACCTATGCAACCTGCCTTGGGCCACATAGTTCTGCATCAACTGCCCCCATTGCTGGCTAGAGATCCCCTTGGAGCATCTTGGAGCCGTCTGAGTTTGACTCGACTTTCATGGAGCAAGCCTGAGGCTCTGAGGCTCTGAGGCTCCAACATTCTTTCGGCCAGAAGCAGCCTCGCATCCACGCATCCACACCAAAGGAATCATCATCTCCGGGCTCTCAAAGCAAGCCCGAAGAGATCATCTTCTTTGCCACTGGCTTTCCAGATTGCACCTTCCAGCAGTCTGAAACATCCTCACAGTGCTCAGCCACCTGACAGCATCAGATGCCTTTGGAAATATTGTCAGAAGCCTGAACAAAGGCCTCAGTGAACATGTCATGGACCAACTCCTCGAAAACAAAGTCTCGCGTGCACAGGGCACGGACTCTCAGATCTGATGACGCCATTACAGTCATTACACCTTTCACAGTTACACAGGCATACACAGGTAAAGCAGCTGCGCGGATCCTGCGCTGCGCCGAGACGGAAGAGGTGCCTGAACCTTGAACGCGCGCATTGTGCAGGAGCTTTGACGAGCCGAGACAAGCGCGTATATCGGCGCCCAACTCAGAGGACGAGATGGCCTAGGCCAGGCATCCATCAAATTCTGTCCTCAGCTGAACATCAGGCTCGCACGCCATCTCTGTCCTTGTCAATGAGATGGAAGGCTTCCTGTCATCCCAATGGTTGCGGAACCAGCCTTTCCGAAACTCAGAATTACAGCACGGCCGTCCTGCCAAGGTACTCCACCCATACTGTGGGATGGCCATGCTTGCCAGATGCCTGCACAAGGCACAAGATGTCACAAGCCTCATGCCTCAGAAGCTCCGCAGCTCTACGGCCTTTCCACTGATCGAGAGGAACCTACGGATGCACCGTAAGTCCAGGGCGTACAGCGCAACATAGCATGGCTATGGATCAATGGACCCTGTTGCATCTGCCCATTGCCTAGCTGCATCGCGCAGAGTCTAGGCGCAAGGCAGCAGTCTCTGAGGGATCGGACAAGCCTCGGTCTTAAGACAAGTGTGAAACACTTCACGCTGAAGCTGGTGTGTCTGGAGTTGCTGCCGAAAGAATGCTTACGAAGGCCGCTCCATGCCGCCTCCTGGCACGAGGCTTAGCTTATACAGTTCTGCACCGCAGGGCATTAGCTTGAATGTCTCCTGACTGCCGTAGGCCGACGCAATCCAAGAAGAGAAGCTCTGCGCCGCCACTTGAGTCCGATGTTCGTCGAATGCTGCAGGCCATTGCGAAACACGCGTCCGGGCTCATCTGCCTTTTGCATCTTGAAAAGTTACGGCTGCCTGCGCATCCAGCTGGTACCGCAGGACAATGGCTATCTTCAATTCGTTCCCAGGAGTACCTGCATGCTTGGCCTTGAACTGCCAGCACATACTCCAAGGTTTCAAGCAAGTGTCAGGCGAGATCACAACCGCTGCCTTGGCACACACGTGTCACTCCAGTCAACCATATGCATTGCCACAGCTCACAATTCTCGTGAACAGGTTATTCCCAAACCTGCTGCAGGCTGAGATAGCAGCAGTAGATTTGCCGAAGTTGTTGATCTGAGACAGGAAAGGCATCAGCTGCACAGGCTAAGCTTCCCATGCACGCCTCTGCCGTCAATGGCCTGTCCAAGGTTCCTGTCATCTGGATAACCTTTTCGGCCTGGGCCTAAGGAAAAGCACGAAGCTCGGCTCAGACTGCTGGGTCAGAGACTACCGTTCAAGGCATGGTGCAGCCACAAACAAACTCAAGAATTTCAAGGTGACAAATGGGGTGCGTGCATCTCCTTGGAAGCTCAGACTGACGCCCCCATAAGTCCTGCACTGTTAGCATCGGGGCGAGCTGTTTGATGCCAAGCATATTTGCGCTTGGAGCAAAGGTCCCTGATTTCTGGTGCTGGTTCAGAAGGCCTCCTTCCCACCTGGAATGGCAAGCTAGAGCTTGCAGCGTGCCCAAACAGAAGAAGCAAAAGGACACATGGAAGGCATGCAGCCGCCTGACAATCCATTTCTGAGCAACTGGATCATATAGCATCAGGCCGACGTCCTAGAACAAAGATCTTCAAAATTGCCAGCTGCCGGAACATGTCGCAACGTCCTGCACTGCGCTGACACTAATTCGCAGGTTCACCTGAGCAAGCCAGACAAATGAAGAACAAAACATGCCGCTTGCGTTACACAGTAAGAGCCAAGCGATTCCTGCCGGAATATCTGCTAGCTTCTCGGTTTGCCTACTGGAAACCATCAACCTGCGCATCTGCGCAATAAGCACATGCTGCTTGCTGGCACTGCTGGCAGTCTTATCCATGACAAAGAGAGAACAGTCTTACCAGATGGATCTTGCCTCGAACCTAACTGATCAGTTGCCCTGGGGCCTTCTGATCCAGTTGCATTTCGGTTGAGGTCAAATATCACCATACACTGTCTACATCTTTATTGAGCAGTGCACGTCTAGCATGCACTCACACTTCTCCTGTCAACTCATGGATTTTTGACGCATGTCAGAACATGCTAAAAGTAGAGTCTCCCGGTACCCATGCACTATCGTTAGCAATACATGCGCATGCAGGCATAATGCAATGTGTGGACCTCGACTGCCCTGTGCCGCCCGTACCTCAGTGAGGCATCCAACAAGAGTCACAGCATGTACATGCTGCATGCTGCCTGCCTGCTCGGGTCCGAGTGTCAGGCAGGGAAAGACAAGCGGTGCCTGCTTGTAGTGATTCGCAGGGCCTTGCACCACTATCCCCTGTCTGCCATCTGCTGCCATGTCTGTTACCGCACTTACTCCTTGGCCGCGGACACGGACTAAGCTCGTTCCACAGGAGCCGAAACCTCTTGTGGTTCTGGTTGAATGGCTCTTCCACCAGTAGCCATGCACCATTTCACTGCAGCAGTCATTAGGTCCTCTGCTGAGCTTCACTGAAGTCCCCCTGCATTGACACTCATCCAGGTCAGGCAAACACACGGAAAAGCGCGCCTGCTCGCCAAACAAGAACTTTCGAATATCAGC